TTAATATAAACTTTAAAAATTTATTATTCAAAAACTACTTAGTAAAAATAAGAAAATTCCTTAATAAAGTTTATAGAATATGTTTTCAATAATATATTCTATATATAATATAGACCCTATTTCATTAATATTTTATTAAATTATTTAAAAAATAGTATTTACTTTTTAATTTTCTAGGCAAATTTGTCTGGAATATAGTTTAAGGGATAATACTAAAATTGAGTTTAGTATATTACTTTCTTTAAGTTTTTTTTTGGTATTGTTTTTTCTTTTTTTTAGGTCTTTTGAATTTCTTTCATTGAAAAGTAACAAAATTATAGGAATTAGTAAATTTTTAACAAAAAAATCAACAAGCTTATATTACTTTTAATTTAGCAAGTTATTTGTTAATATACAACTTAGATAAGATAATAAATATATATATTACTATTATATAGATAATCTAATTAGAATTTAATTCTAAATGAGTTATTAGAATACTAGAAATATGTATTTTTTTGTTTTTATTTTTTTTTTTTTGTTATTAAGGCAGCTTACATTGTCAGAAGAATTTTATTAGAATTGCATATGGGATATATATTAATAGTTCCTACTGTTTGTAATTACATGAAGAGTGTATAACAAGCTACATATACAACTTTAGTCATTATCTAATTTAAGTAGTCTGCCACAAAGGGGATTAGACCACTCAATTGGTTCTACACTATGCTGCTATACCTATAACCTGCCTGTGAGTTACCTATTTAAACACTCTATTCATTAACCTATACAGATCTAATCTAACGTCACCACAACACGTAACTGCTTAAGCCAGCTAACTTATTACAGGTCTATTTATCCAGAATAGTTTAGGTCTTCTCAGGATATATTGTATCTAATGTATTGTAGATATCGCAAAGCCAGTTAACCTCAAAGCATACCTACTAGAGTAGTCCGTACCTATTTTACAGATTCACCTAGCTTAGACTCTTGTAGATATTCATACAATCCTAGTTCTTACTGTAGCTCTCCACTAGTTTTTCTGTATTCTATCTTCTTAGATGTTTCACAAAACAGATCCTCCTAATCTAGTTAGCTGCAAGCCAAATTGGTATTACCAATTCTCTCTGTAGACTAGATTTATATGTACCTAACTCGATCTGCATCTTTTGTCAATAGTTTCCTTTCTGGATCAAGCGTTAACCAGTATGACCATTGAAGGCCGTACTACTTCACTAACTTAGGATTTCTACTATGCAGGTCCCCTGTCTGTAGATCCTATCAAGATTTATTCGTATAATATTATATCTCACCAAATGCCTCATCACACTTCCAATATCTGAATAATATTGGTATAATATGATTTACAGAGTTACAACTCCAGAAACAGACAGAGTTTACTGTAAGTTAGGTACAAAGGTCCAGATAATTATTCAAATTCATCGATAGTAGGATTTGAACCCCAGACCTCTTGCATGGCAGTCTGGCAATCTAACCACTACACTAAGATTGCCAGACCTCTTTTTTTGTCTTTATATAAGTATAATATTTTATATTTTTATTATTATTTTTTTTTATATTAGAAAGAATATTTTCTCTCTTTTCTTTTCTTTTTTTTCATTTTTTTTTTATTTTTTTATAAGGTGGCTTCCTTTGCTAATTAGATTTTATTAATTTGTTATTACGGAACTACCCTAAGGTAGACTCCTAAGGTTTTACAGTTATATGATGAGTGTACAACAAGCTATACATACAACTTTAGTTATTGTCTAATTTAAGTAATCCACCATACAGACGATTAACTATCTGTTGGTTCTACACTATGCTGCTATACCTGCAACTTGCCTATAAGTTACCTATTTAAATACTCTGATCATTAACTCTTCCTCCTATTCTAAACTAACATTACCACTATGGCTGACTGCTTAAACCAGTTGACTCACCTGTGGATCTATTTATTGCATAGCTTAGATCCTCTCAGAATGCATATGCCCAACATATTGTGAGCTGCAAAGCTCCAGTTAACCTCAGAAGTATGTCTACTAGAGCTGTCCATGTCTATTTCACAGATTTACCTAGCTTAGATCCTTGTAGATATTCATACAACCTCAGTTCTTGCTGTAGCTCTCCACTGGTATCTGTATTCTCCTTCTTAGGACATTTTACAAGATAGATCCTTCCAAATTCAGTTAGCTGCTAAGCCAAGTTGATGTTGCCGATCTTTTACTACAAACTGGACTTACTTGTACCTATTCTGATCTATACCTTTCTCAGCAGTGTTTCTTATCAGATTAAGTATTAACTGGCTTAACTGTCGAAAGCTGTACTACTTCACCTACTCAGGATTTCTACTATACAAGTCTCCTGCTTGTAGATCCTATCAAGATTTCTTTGTATAACATTATGCTATACTTCCAATATTTGAGTAACTTGGTACAACTTAATTTACAAGGTTGCAATACCAGAAACAGACAGAGTTTACTGTAAGTTGAGTACAAAAGTCTAAGTAATTATTCAAATTTGTCAACAGTGGGATTTGAATTCTAGACTTTTTGTATAGTGGTCTGGCAACCTAACTACTATACTAAGATCACCAGACCTTCTTTTTTTCATTTTTTACTTGTAAGAATTTTTTTAATTTAGTAGTAAATTTTTTTTTTGTTATTAAGGCTACTTCCTTGGCCAATTAGATTTTATTAGTTTGTTATTACGAAACTATTATATGAATAGTTTTCTAAAGTTTTACAGTTACATGATAAGTATACAACAAGCTATTCACACAACTTTAGTTATTATCTAATTTAAGTAGTTTGCTATACAGACGATTGACTATCTGTTAGTTCTATACTATACTGCTATATCTGCAACCTGCCTATAAGTTACCTATTTAAACACTCTGATCATTAATCTTTTCCTTATTCCAAACTAACATCACCACTATGACTGACTACTTAAGCCAGCTAGTTCACTTGTAAATCTATTCTCTGCATAGCTTAGGTTCTCTTAGGATACGTATATCTAGTATATTATGAGCTACAGAGCTCTGGTTAATCTCAGAAGTAAACCTACTAGAGTGATCCATACCTATTTTATGAATTCACCTAGCTTAGACCCTTGTAAATATTTATATAACTCCAGTTTCTACTGTAGCTCTCTACTAGTTTTCTGTGTCTATTTTCTCAGATATTTCACAAGGCAGATCCTTCTAATCTAATTAGCTGCCAAGCCAGGTTGATATTACTGATCCTCTCTGTAAAATAGATTTATGCATACCTAACTCGATCTGCATCTTTTAATGATAGCTTCTTTTCTAGATCAAGTATCAGCTGGTATAACTATTAAAAGCCATACTACTTTACTAACTCAGGATTTCTACTATGCAGATCTCCTACTTATAGATCCTATCAATATTTATTTATATAATATTATATACTACGTCATACTTCTAATATCCAAATAATATTGGTGCAATATGATTTACAGGGTTACAACCTCCAGAAATGAACAGGTTTGCTATAAGTTAGGTACAAAGGACCAGGTAATTATTCAAATTCGTCAATAGTGGAATTTAAACCTCAGACCTCTTGCATAGTAATCTGGTAACCTAACTACTACACTAAGATTACTAAACCTTTAGTAGTAAATTTTTCTCTTATAAGTTTAGTTCATATTGTTATAAAATAAGTTTTACTATTTTATTTTATTTTTATTTTTATTTTTTTTTACATTTAGGCAATCTTGCTTATTATTTTATTAAGAATAAGCTAAATTAAGCTACAAGTAAGGGTCTGATAATCTTAGTATAGTAGTTAGATTGCTGGACTACTATGCAAGAGGTCTAGAGTTCAAATCCCACTGTATACAGAATTGAATAATTACCTAGATATCTGTATTCAACTTACAGTAAAACTCTGCTCATTTCTGGGGTTGTAACCCTGTAAATTATATTGTACTAATGCCAATTGGAGTATTAGAAGTGTGATGAGGTATTTAGTGAAGTATAATATTATACAAATAAATCTTAATAGGATTTATAAGCAGAGAACTTGTATGGTAGAAATCCTGAGTTAGGTAAAGTAGTACAGATTTTGACAGTTATACTGGTTTACACAGATCCAGTGAAAGAAATCTGTAGCTAAAAGATATTACTGAATGGGTATGAGTAAGTCCATCACACAAGGTCATATGGCAATACCAATTCGGCTTGGCAGCTAACTGAATTAAGAGAATCTGTCTCATGAAATATTTAAATACATGAAGAACTGATTCAGTAGAAGGTCATAGTAGGAACCAGGTTTGTATAAATATTAAACAAGGATATATGTAAGCTAAATTGGGATATAGCATAACATAGTTAGATATCATAGCACCTATTGATTAGGAAGTTGGTGAAGGGGTACCTGAGATAGACCTAGGCTTCAAATCATAAAGTTTGTAGATTCATGTCAGCTCTGTTGATGTTTTCTGAAAATAGAAGTAGTACAGGGTTAGGTGAATTTGATAATAAATAATAGTGAGATAGGAATAACATATAGCCAGAAAGTTTAAATACAGAATTTTCAAATAAATTTCAGATATAGTAGCTAGTGTAAAACCTTCAGGCAGACTACTTAAATTTGACAATCTAAAGTTGTATGTATGGCTAGTTGTACTCTCACATATATAATCATTGCTCAAAACTATCTATATCAATAAAAATCTTACTGATAGCATATTTATCAAGTAAAAAAAAAAAAAAAAAAAAAAAAAAAAAGCTACAAGTAAGATACTACACTATTTACAGCAAACTACTTTTCTAAAACTATTTAGAACTCATTTAGTTACTTTTCAATACCTAAGTATAATCTGCTGCAGCAACTATTAGCAAATGAAGAACGCATTCTTAGTGAAAGGGAACGTGAGATTGAAAAAAGAAAACAAAATTTGTCACACTCTACTCGTTCTAGCCGCTCTAGTTCACGCTCTGACATATGGCAAAGTATAAATTCACCGATTGGCGCCACGCATTCTAATCATTCTACGACCTCCACTTCTACTCACGAATTTGCGGATGACAATGATCAACCATTGATAATTGGAAATATAGATGCTAACTCTTTGAACTCAGCTCCACTCAATGCTAAATCAGTAGCTAATTCTGTGAACGAAGAGCGTAATTCTCTTTCTGATTCAATCGCTCACGCAATCCTTACACAAGACCTGTCACATATCAGCTTGCAACAACAAATGTCTGATATTAACACTACATTTGTAATTAATCCACCTGTACCTCATTCGGTAGCTTCTAATTCGACTATTTCTGTCTCTACAAACTCTTCTAAACGAAGTCCGATCATTCAAGAGCCCGAACAACCACTTCAGCAACAACAATTGATGAGATCCAATTTACTTCCAGACCAATCACCCTCCTTGTTAAAATCTGTTCCTACAGAAGAAACATGGTCTGAAATTGGCTCTATTATTTCTGAGAATATTGGAAGTATTATGTCATCTGCTGTAGATATTGACATGGAAAATATAGAGCATTAACGTACTTATAATTGCATCTGTATTTCATTTTAAAACAATGAATATTCTCTTTTAACATTGGACATTACTTGTTTCTTAAGAGACAAAGAAAGGAAAAAAATTTTTTTATTTGTTAAATTTGTACAAACTTTTGCAAGAATGAATATTCAGTTTATCTTGATATATATAGATATATCTTATTAATTTTTAAGCCATATATATACCAATGTAACAATAAAACTTAAGATTGTGTCCCTTATAATTAACATTGGTCTTGTCCTAATTAAGAAAAATACTAAAAATCGAAGAAGATTTAAAGTAGGAAGCTTAATAAATTTCAAAAAAGTTTAAATTCTATTTATAATTGATTTCCCATAACCTAACTCTAATACTATTGTACTAACTATAAATCTTGCTAATCATCCGTAACGGTAACGTTAATTTATCCGGAAAATAAATAAAGCCGTATTATTACTAAATTCACGTGTTTTACGTCATTTGCGATTTTTTGTATTATCCATTTATAGGGGTCGTCTAAAGCGGAGTAGAATCACGAATTTTTTGTTGACCCCGGATCAGCCCGGCGAAGCAAAAAAAAAATGAAAAACGCAAAAAATACAAAAAACGGCTAACTAGACCTGTCTTGATACACTAATAAAAAATGTCGGAAGGTAACTTTACCTATATACCTGCTAACCCTAACGTTAATAATAATTTGTCGATTTCGTGTAACATACTCCGCTTTTAGACGTCCCATTTATAGAAATTTATAGAAATTTTGTATGTTATATTACTGGTAATATATAAAAAAAGCTCTTCTCGTTTCGCTTTTAGAATTCAATAATGTACTTTTATCACCCTTTAACACATGTTTATATACTGCAACAAGTTTTTTATTATCTTGAGACACAGAAAGATTTCTATAATTTTACTCTCGTAAACTATAAATGGAACCTTGCAGCGTCACCTTTCTTATACCGAGCACCAAAACCATTAACATCAAAGGCCGTTGAAAAATGCAAACAAACACTCATGCACGCTAAAGAAAAGAAAACGTTGCATCAATATAATGAAATGGTACGAGAATGGATAATAGAATTAAAAATTCGTGATGCAGAAAGAGATTTATTGATAGCAGATTATTGTCCATATGTTGAAAAAATTTCGTGTAGTAGTGAGGTTAAGAATGGAAATAAACATCCTATGTTGGCCATTCGTCTAATAAAGTCTTGGAAACATTTAAAATCTATATCATTGTATCATAGCAGCGGATGTGATGCAACTCTGGAGTCGATATCGATAAATTGTAAAGCACTAGAAGAATTGATTCTTGTGAATTGTAAAGTGACAGATTATGGACTTGGTGAAGTTATGAAGGCTTGTAAAGTAATTAAAAAGATTCGGCTGGTCCAGTGTACTGAGATTACGGATGAAAGTTTAGTTGCAATATCTAAATCGTGTAGACATTTAACTCATTTGGAGTTAAAAGACTGTAAGAATTTTACTGATAAAGGAATTTATACTCTTTCTAATCCTACTACTACTCGAAAACTTCGAATGTTGTCCCTGGAAAGTCTAAATATTAAAGATTCTCTTTTTGCGTTAGCTGAGCATACAAAAGTGCTTCAGGAACTGTCTTTAAAGAAATTGGAAAACTTAAATGATGAAATTATCTCGATTTTTGGAAGAAATTCCTCAAAGACTCTTAAACAACTTCGCGTATATTCTTGTAGAAAGGTGAAAGGATGGGGTATTAAGGAATTTGTTGGAGTTGAAGATTTGTCATTATTAATGGATTACATTAATTTTAAAGAATTTGAAGGAATTTGCGAGTATTGTAGTGCCATTGAAATTTTTACTTTGGATGTTAGGAGGATCATAGAAACGGATCAAACTTTGGTAAATTTTTTTTTCATTTGTTTTATTATTTAAATTTATACCTAATTAATTTTTTTGTCTTATTTAGAATATCGTTATTGCAATTTCACAACTAAAAAATCTTAAATCATTAGCTATTTTTTGTGGAAGAAATTTTTCAAAAGATAACCGTCGTCTACTTGAAAGACGTTGTTCGAAATTAAGAAAAATTAATTTTTAATATTATTAATATTTATAATACGTTTTTGTTATCTTAATATTTATTTTATTTTTAAAGTTTAATTTATTAGATTAGAAATGTTTTTAGATTTTTACAAAATAAAATCCATTTTAATAAATTTAATGCGAATTCAATACTTGTTAAATAAATTATGATATATAAAATTGTTAATACGATAAGGATTTTAGTAAAATTTCTATTTGTAATTTTAGAAGTAATTCTGGGTTGAAATGACTTATCATGTGATAATGAAAGTTTGAAATAGCACTATATTACGTAGTTAATTTCATCAAATATGTTATTGCCAGGCGTACCGAATAATTTATTGTAGTGGAAATTAACTGCAAATACTAATTATAGCATAAATATGTATAATATTTTCAACTAGATAAATCTTATTGTAAAATATCTAATACTATTTAATACATATGAGGATTCTAATTTTATTGTATATACTGATTTTTCAAAATTAGATACTTTAGTCATAAGAGGTTTTCTCTTGATAAGGTGTATATATCAGTCACACGATTTGTCACGCAGATCACAGGGGTAAATTTTTTACTATGAAATTTGAGTGATCAACATACATATGATCGATCCATTTTTCATAGTAAATTGCAACGGCAGGCCCTCTTCAAATGGATTTTTCAGGGGTTTCCTAAAAGGAAACCACAATCACGAGATAATGAATAGCGCTTTAGTTAAATATGCACTTTCGTATTTTTAAGTCTAAAGTAAGATAAGTTGCTAAGTTGAGAAGAATTACGCCCTTAAAGTTGGTCTTTTGTTTTACTTTACATATACTCATTATCTTGTTTTGAAAGCTTTTTTAAGTATAATTACAAACTTACCAAAGTTATTTAACATTCTAAACTTTTTAGAGTTATTACCAACGAAGATTTATTGAAATTCAAGCAGAGTTATAATCGACTAAGTAAATTAAATCATAATTGAAGGAATTAAAGTAATGCTTACTACTACGGTACTATTACAATATTAATATAGTTTTTTAAAAATTTAGATGAAACTATCAATGAAAACCTTAATATAGATGAAAAAACTTTAGCAGTAAATTATTTAGGAATTATACGATGTCAAATTTTGAATTTGTTAGGTTAGATTAAACTACTAATTAAAGCTATAGAGTTAATTTAGAGAGAGTTAATTATATTGAATATTTTTTTTAAAAAAATTTTTTTTATTAAAAATTAAATTATATGATCTTTATTTACATTTTCTACTAAAATTTTTTTAATAAATATCAAATTTTAATTTATTCATCGAAGCTAATAACTAATAAGTAATCTCTTAGTAAAAAAATATGAAAATATATCTTTTTATAGAATTACTTTGACTAAAATTTATATTTTGTGCTATAAATCTAGTAAAATTAATCATGATAGTAATGACTAGTGAGCCACGTCGAAGTAATTGCTTGAATACTCCCTAATGCTAAATAAATACTAATAATTAATAAATAATCTTTGAAATAAATAAATAAATAACCTTTATACTTATTGTTATATTGATACAGATAAATAAACCTAAATAAGATAATAAGTATTAGCTACCTTAAATAGCATAAAAAATTTTTTTCCAAGTAAAAAATAAAACAAAAACATCAATTTATTAAGTGATCTATATACTGAAAAACAGTTTTTCTTGATTTTTTTCATTACATTTATAATATACTAGCCTTTCACATATATATTTTAGTAAAAGCTCTCTCTCTGATGCACCTAATAGATCATTTTTTAAGTTAATAAGTTGTTAACCTGAGAAGAATCAAATGAAAGTAGACAAAATAATTGCATATATTAAATAAAGTAGTAATTTATAAGGAAAAGTTCATTTTTTACATTTCTCATATCATTTGATTCATAAAAATCTCAGCAATAGTTTTATTTTAAGAAACAATATGTATTGGGTCTAAGGTTTTAGACAAAATTTTTGAAAATGCAATTTCATCAGTTTGTGTAATTTGTAAAAATCATATGATAAAATTTTAGATATGACAAATCATGTGACTGATATAGAAACTTGTATATATATGTAAAGTATAATCTATGAATTAAACTAAAATATGAAGAAAAAAGAAGTCATAGTAGTTATTAAAATGTAAAGTTTTAACTATTCCTTAATCTGTAGGCTATTCCAGGCAAATTTGCTTAGAAAATTTATATAACAATACCTATAATCTATATTTTTATAAAATTAATATATTTAAACAAAA